TTTCCCCTGGTGTTGGATATTAGGCTGCGTCCAGTATCCAGTTACCAGAACTGTGTGCAAAACACCGTGGTGAGCATTCTCTGTGTGAATCTTCGTGCTTCAGCGTGAGCGTGTCTGTAAGATTTTGAGAAGTGAGCCTGTCAAGGGACAGGCTGCCTGTGACAGGGACCTGCCCTACCCCGTCCCATCTAAACTCGTCGGCTAGCCTCTCCCTGGTGCTTCTCAGGGCCAGGCAGCCTGAGTCTCCGGCACTGACGTTAGGCACCACATGCATCCGAACCGAACCCCTGGGGTGTTTGCTGGAATGCACGTGCCCCCAGACCCGGACCAGAACCATGGGGGGCCCTGGCATGTGAGGTCTCCAAGGCATCCAGCGGAACCTGCGGTAGGAGACCGAATTTCTACAGCACGTCTCCTCTGTTGGCTTCAGACTCTGGTGGGCCAGCTGCGTCCCCTGGATCACACCGTGCAGGGCACTGGGTAATGGAGGGACCCCAGTCACAGGAGGCCACCCACACCCCACCAGACGTCTGCTGCTCAATTCTTGGGCCAGCATAGCATGGTGCTCCAAACCGTCCCTTACCAGGTCCATGAGCAAAAGCCCTGCAGCACAGGACGGAGACCCATGTCCTGCCTGAGAGCTTCAGGGGTGAAGCGAGCAGTCACTACCCCAGGGCAGGGGCCCAGCCTCAGAACATCATCGGACCCTCTGAGGTGAGGCCGGGACGTGAGCATCTACGGGTGAGCGCCGGGCACCATGGGGACCCAGCTAGCTGTCGACGCTGGTGCATGTGGCACAGCAGCTGCCGGTTAACTGATGGGCCCGGGTGAGGGGAAAGCGCCTGCCGGCTGCCACGCCATCCCCAGCCCTCACCCTGCCAGCGTTGCTCTACAGAGACAGCCCCACCTGTCGGGACGGTGAGTGCTGCCCACAAACCAGGGCAGAGCTCTGCCCACGCAGGGACTCGTCCAGGAGCTGAGCCTCAGAGCGCACATCCCTGGGAGCCCTCTCTCCCTGCGGCTCAGTGGTGACCCAGGAGCACTCGTGACAGTTGCCTCCTCCACTGTGTCCTGCAGGTAGGTGTGGGCAGGTAGTCCAGAGGCTGGAACACAGCTGAGATCATTTCTGGACGTGCAGATCCAGTCACAGTCTTGGGCTGGGATAGGGCCAGGAGTGTGTACCCCCCGCTCCAGGAAACGAGCTGAATGCTTGACAAAGAGTTGAAATGACCTTCTGTAAAGCTTGGCTGTCTGAACACCTTAGATGACATGCTCTTGTGTTTTGGTTACATTTGTGCAGCAAAGCCGGGCACTGGGCCACAACAGGAAGTGCAGCAAAGCTGGGCACTGGGCCACAACAGGAATTCTGATCCTATGCGGACCGTTTGCCCTGCAGGTATTAGCGCTGCGGGCTTCACCCAGGACCTGTCTGTTCTCCTGTGCTTCGTGGTCAGAAATCAGTGAGTTTGGAGCAGGCTCCAGAAGGGAGGTGTTGAGAGGCAGGCGGGAGTTCCCCTGCTCCCCGGGGCTGAGAGTGCATACAGAAGGCAGGGTTATATTCTTTACAGATAAGCCTCGGTCTCAGACCATGTGACATGGGCAGAAGTAGGTACGAGGGAATGGGATTCGGGCCGCACCGAACAGGCTCTCTGGGCAGGTCACCAGAAAGCTGGGCATTCTTCGGGCAATAGATGTGGAAATACTCATTTATTAAAGCTGAATGCATAACTGAGGATTTGTGCTGGATGGCATAACACCTATCGCAGATTCTAGAATGAACAAGCAGAGGTGTCCGAGGAAAGAAACCTGAAAGTTGGAGAAATCCATTTGTTTAATTTTTCACAGGCATGAGGCAGCAGCCTCTGTAATTTGATCGAGCAATGTGCCGCAGGATTGTGAGGAGCTGGGGTTTTTTCATTTTTTTTTTTAATGTTTATTTATTTTAGAGAGAGAGAGAGCAGGGGAAGGTCAGAGAGAGAGGGAGACACAGAATCCGAAGCAGGCTCCAGGCTCCAGGCTCCAGGCTCCAGGCTCCGAGCTGTCAGCACAGAACCCGACGCAGGGCTCGAACTCAAACCGTGAGATCATAACCTGAGCCAAAGTCGGACGCTTAACTGATTGAACCACCCAGGCGCCTCCTGAGGAGCCAGTTTTGAGGGTCCCATCCGAGACTGGTCTTCACACCCTGTCTTAGCCGTGTGCAGCCAGAAGCCAAGAAATTGTTAAACATTGAACATGCACGTCAGAGTCTCCGTGTGCCTCACATGTCTGTATTCACAGGGTTATTTGGGCTCCAGAACTTGGCAGAGACAGGAGCCCACCCCCTAGGCCTGGTGGAGTGAGAGCTGGCTTGGGGGCTCTGGGCTGAGCTGCAGGGAGGCTAGCACGCGGCCACAGGCTTTGCTGTGAGTGACAGCATCGCTGGCAGCCCTGAGCAGGACACTGCCCGGGGGCCACAAACCCCAAGGTGAAGCTCCCACTCCCTTGGAGTTAATGGACTTCTGGCCCCATATTGTTTGGGATTTTGATTTGTTTTGAAGCTGAAACCTTGCCTTACTTATCTCTCTGTACCAGATTGGCTTCTCCCCTCATGTTTGCACACTTCCATTTTGGAGTTCAAACTGCTCAGGCACAACCCTCACCCAGGGTGGAGGCAGCCACTCGGATGGCCCGGGTACAGGCCCTGCTGGCCTTCCCCTGCCCCGCCCCCCCCCCCCCTTCAGCCCTGGCCCTCCTGCCTTCACACCCCTGCCCAAGCAGGCAGCCCAAGAGAACCCTGGTTCCTGGCCTGCCAGATGAGCTGGTTTCAACTGTCTCTCAACCAATAACAAGCACCCCAGAGACCCAACAGGAAAAACCTGAGGCGATCTTTCAACTTTCTTAACAACAACTCTTTCTTCTTTCTTTCTTTCAACCCTTTCCTTTCTTTCTTTCTTTCTTTCTTTTCTTTCTTCCTTTCTTTTCTTTTCTTCCTTTCTTCCTTTCTTTCTTCCTTCCTTCCTTCCTTCCTTCCTTTCTTTCTTTCTTTCCGCTCTTCCTTTCTTTTCTCATATATTAACTTTCTTTCTTTCTTTCTTTCTTTCTTTCTTTCTTTCTTTCTTTCTTTCTTTGCTGTGGCTTTGTTGTCTTACATGTACAGAACCTTCCCAGGAGAAGCCAGGCCTCCCGGCATTCCCAGAACCACAGGGCTGGGGGTCATGACAATAGCACGGACCACACAACCCTGAGTCCATGTGGCAGTGAAGCGGAAGAAGGTGGGCTCCAGAAGGAGAGAGCCTGCCCACGGCTCTGGGTCGGGCCGTCTCCCGCTGGGCAGGTGAGCAGGGCCGCATTGTGAGGTGAGGCCCTGGGGCTAAGGGCCCGGCTGGAGCTGAACAGGATCCCCATCTGCACACTGGGCAGTGAGGTTTGGTGGTGGGTCTTTATGTGGGGTACGACCAGGCCAGCACACGTGTGCACATCTGCTCTGCTGTCTGCCCTCCAGCCTGAGTGTGGGAGCAGATGGGAAGAGAGTAGACACAGATTGAAGGCCAACGACAGTGTTGGTGGGGCTCTTGGTGTCCATCTTAGCAGGGCCCAGGAGCCACCTGCATCAGCCAGCTAGAGCTGTGTAACAAATTGCCCCTAAACTTAGTGGCTTAGGGCAGCAATCACTAGCCGTTCTCACAGTCTGTATGGGTCAGCTTGTCTTTATCCCACTGTGTCTGGGGCCTAAGCTGGGGCCTCTTGACCACTCACTCACTCTTCTGGTGGTTGGTGCTGCATCAGCGGGGCCTAGCTGGAGCCAAGGACCAACATATCCACCAGGAGGTTCCCGTGTGTCCTGGGCTTCCTGCCAATATGGTGACTGGGTGCCCTGGACAAGTGTTCTGAGGATAGAATCAGGAGGAAGCCGTGCTGCCTTTTATGACCTAACCTCAGAAGCCAGACAGCACCATTTCCAGCATATTCTATTGGTCAAAGCAGTTACAAAGGTCCACCTGGTTCAAGGGAAGGGAATAAACCCCGTCTTTCAGTGGAGATGTGCCCGTGGCACTGTGGGATGGCAGTTAGCTACCGGCTACCAGGATCAGGCCCCAGAACCTGACAGAGCCCTGGACACAGACAGGCTGTGGGGTGCCCTGCTGTGGAAGTGGGCATCTTCCAGCAAGGAGTGTACAGGAGGTGGTGACACCCTGAGATGGTTGGTGATCCTGGATCTTAAGGAGGGAGCCCAGCATCCAGATTCCAGGTGGCAGGGACAAGGGTCAGCAGGCAGGGGACTCTGGCCAGCTGAAGGCAAGGTGCTCCCTCTGTTTACTGGAAGGAGCTGTGGACCCAGCACCCCCCCCCCCAGTCTGGACACCTCATCTTGGGAAGGTGGGGGTGGGAAGATCCAGTCTTGAGGAAGGCTGGCAGGTCAGGGCACTGCTGTCCTGGGATGGGGCGCTGTACCCCAGTCAGTTACCTGAGGGGTGTCAGCAGGCTGACACTTGGGGGACAGGGTGGAAAACGCCAATGGGGTGCTCCTAGCACACCCACTTAGCCCAGAGGCCACAGCTGCCTGCCCTCCAGGGTTCCCCCACCCCAGGGCAGGCCGGCGGGTGTCCTGAAGGAAGAATGTTGGTTAAAGAAGTCTGACAGGTCTGGTCACCCGCCCTTCCCCACTCAGCGACACCAGAGACCCGGCGGTCTGGGGTGCGACTGGGGGGCTCAGCCTGGCCTGGGGGCGTAGCGGAGGCGGGCGGGGAGGCCGCGAGGGGCGGCAGCGGAGAGCTCGGACCACAAACACACGACGCCCGGGTCTTGGACGTGGGGGGGAACGCGAGGCCCAGGAAGACGCCTGTGGGGCTGGGCCGGTTGTCACCACCCCTGCCCAGGGTCAGCCAGCGCGGCTCTGAACTTCCAGCCCCAGGTACGCCTCGCGCGGTCCCGCCCCTTCCGTCGAGGCCCCGCCTGCTCCGCTCCAGGCCCCGCCCCTTCCGTCGAGGCCCCGCCCCCCGTTCCAGACCCCCGCGAGCATGGTGGTGCTGAAGGGCGTCCCGGCGCTGCTGTCCCCCGAGCTGCTCTACGCCCTGGCGCGGATGGGGCACGGAGACGAGATCGGTGAGCGCGGCGGGGACAGGGCCTCGGGGGCCCCCACCCTCGGAAGAAGCCGGGCAGGTGGCCCGGCCCAGACTGTGGCCCGGCCAGGAGACGACGACTCCCGCTTCCAGGGAAGGGTGGTGGGGGCATTGCATGGGCCGCCCCATCCGACTTCCCAGTAGGACACTCCCTCCTTCCCCGTCCCGCGTCCTTTAGGAAACTGAGGCCCGGGCGGTGGCCCAAGCCCCTGCCCCGACTTTGGTTGGTCCCAGAAGGTCACGAGGACAGCGACCCTTGCTCCAGGCAGGGCTGTGTCCGGGAGGCCCGGCCCCTCCATCAGCCTGGCTTTTGGGGGTGGGGGGGCGGCCAAGTTCCCAGCTCCGGCCTCAGGCCCGGTGTGCTGTCTCCAGACCTCTTCCCAGACGGCCCCCGAAGGGTCACACCAATTTGTTTGCGGCGCTTTATCTTTTTCTGGGGCCATGGGCCTCGGACGGGGGCAGCTTCTCAGGACGGGGCGCCCCTGCTGGGTGGAGGCCGCGGGTCCAAAATCCGCCCTCGTCCTGGAAACACCTGCAGTTTCTACACCACTGGGAAACTCCCTGTCCCCTCCCCCCACCTCTGATGGGAGGGGTCGGAGAGGGCAGTGAGCAGGTGACCGGAGGTCTGCGCCCACCCACGAAGTTGCAAGATGGGCTGCGCAGACCCAAGGACCCACCAAGGGATGTCTAATCAGGTTGGATGGCTGTTCAGTTTTTGCAGACGTGAACTTCCCCACCTCCTCCATATGCAGGTGTGGCCCGGAGGAGATCCGTGCCGACGGTGAGTTGGCCACCTCTGACAGGGTGGATTAGGGTGGATGGGCAGTCGTCCCCGCTCTCGGCTCCCCAAGTGTGGCAGCTCTGTCCCCATCCCCACTCATTCCCCAAGCACCCACCAGTGAGCCAGGAAATCCCGGTACCAGGACCCTCTTCAACCCCAACCCCAGAGATGACCCTGGGCCTCCTGCTCCATCTGAGACACCACTTGGTAACTTCATGCAAGTGCGGAAACTGAGGCCCAGAGCCTCATCGGCTGGCTGAGCACTAGTACAACCAGGTCAGGTGTTCACTAGAAATCCCAGTACTGGTGGCCTGGCCTTACAGGCTCCAGGTGCCCACGTGTTTCTAAGACCCTCTGACCCTAAGGGGTGGGCAGGAGGCTTGACTTGGAGAGTCCTGGAACCAGATCCCCAAGGTGATAGAGGTAGCAGAGTTGTACCGAGAGTAAGGTCTGGGCAGGGGGGATAAGAGCAGCAGCGTCCTGTCCTACCTGGGCTGGCACTGGGCTCAAACTGGGCATGGCTGTTTCCCCGCCCTCAGCGATGCCGTGAGGGGGACATGACTCTCCATGGAGAGGCGAGGTCACTGAGGCACAGAAATGTGAAACGTGGGCTAACCCCTCCCCCGCCCCGCCCCGGACAACGCAGGCCAGTGGTCTGAGGCATGTTCAGTGGGCTGCCAGCTCCAGACCCAGTGGCCTTGGCTTCCACTCCCTGCTGACAGAGATGAGCCAGCTGTGCCTCAGTTTACACCCTGAGCCAGATGACCCAAGGAGGATGGGCCGTGGGAAAGGCCAAATGCTGGGAGGCAAGGAGCAGCCAAGCCTCCAAGCGACGCGCACACCCTGCGTGTTAGTGGAAACTAGCAGTTAGGGGTCGGAGCCCAGGCTTGCGGACAAGTCAACCACCAAGAAGAGCAGAGAAGACGGCAAAAGGAAGTGCTCTCGGGGTTTCTCACCAGCAGTTTCTGTATTTCCCAGTTTTGTACGATGCGCACGAGTTCTTTAACAATCAGGACCCAGTTCTACGGGAGAACAGGGGCCGTGGGGACAGCCTCTTCCCAGGCCCCACTGTGCTCACCACAGGATAAGAGTGGCAACCCAGGGGTCATGTCGGGGGACTTCTGGGCTCAGGACAGTGGCCCAGGTGCCCTTCCTGATAGATGACTTTGAGGTCACCACCAATAACCTGTGTAGTGCAGTGAAGGGGGACGGGCAGGGCAGGCCCAGAGCCAGGATGGCCACAGGGCGGGGAGATGCCAGTGTGGCCCCAATAAGTGTCCCCAGGCGGACAGCACGTGCCTGCAGGGCCTTCTCTGTCCTGGGCGCAAGTGCATTCTTGCTGGCCAGCTGAGTGAGGCCCAGGGGGAACGGTGTGGACAGGCCAACAGGGCAGGTGGCACCATCTGCAGCCAGGTGGGAGAGGGCTGGAGTCTCAGGCTGGAACTGTGCCCTCAGGCCTGGGCATCCCACAGCTCCTGGAGGCCGTGCTGAAGCTGCTGCCCCTGGACACCTACGTAGAGAGCCCGGTGAGTGCCTTTTCCACTTGCTTTCTTCTTTGTCAGACCTCAGGGGGTCCACTTGCCTTGAGTGGGGAGGAATGTGTCCCCAAAGGGCTCTGACCCTGAACGGAGGACCCCTGAACTGTCACCCAGTGTGGGGGCCTGGTAGCACCCAGGGCAACCAGACAGACTGCGAAGCTGACCCCTCTGTGCCTAGGCTGCTGTCATGGACCTGGTGCCCAGCGACAGGACGAAGGGCCTTCAGACCCCGGTGTGGAGGAGCTACCAGTCCATCCTGTCCGGGGCCGGCTGCACGGTGAGACTGCGGCCCCACCAGGAAAGCTTCACCTCCTTGGAGGCCAGGAGGAGCACAAGACCGAGGCCCCAAATTCCATGCTACAGTTGTCTCAGCACTTGCCTTCCCTCCACAGAAGAGTGACCCTGGGGATGTGGCTGTGCCCTGCCTCAGGATCCTGACCTGGCTTCGCCTAGGGTCCCTCCCCCACGCCAGCCTGTCTGAGTGGAGCCAGGGGGAAGTGGGGTGCCCCGGCCCCTGTCTTGTGGTCAGAGGCCTGGCCAATGCCGTGTGTCACCCGCACATTGTGAGGGGGTGGGCTTGTCCTCCAAGGACCACCCGCTGGCAGGTGTGTTGGGCAGGACCCACCTGAGGAGAGGATGCTTGGGGCTTCCGTCCTGGGCAGGCACCCTCCTGCCCTCAGGCCAGCTCCAAGGGACACAAGGGCCCCAGGCAGGTGGCCACCACAGCCCCCCATGCTCCTGCCCGTCCAGCCCTCACAGCTCAGAGGCCAAGCATCCTTGGGACCCCAGCAAGGAGAGCCAGAGAAATGAACCTCAGAGCAGCCATGTGACCTCATGCCCCTGCTACCTGCTTGGGCCCTTGAGGGTTTCTGAGCAAGGTCCCTCGACCATGACATTTTGCCTTCCAGGACACCCTGGCGAAGATAGAGAGGTTTGAGTTTTATGCGCGGGCCAAGAAGGCTTTTGCTGTTGTAGCAACTGGGTGAGTTCTGGCCAGGCCCATGGGGTCCTGCTGGTCCTGCTGGGTCTGGGCCATGCTGGGCCCTCCTCCCCACTCCAGAGCCCCCCCTACTCTCTGCTCAGCCCTGCCCTGACTGAGACTGGATGCCCCACTGGGAATATGACTGCCAAGGGACTTGCCTGATGACCGGTCCCTGGATTAGTCTAGCGCCTGGGGTGAAGGTGGGCCAGGTGGGTGGCAGAACAGCAGGCCCCAGCCTGGTGCTCAGCTCACTTCCTTATGCAGGGAGACAGCCCTCTACGGAAACCTCATCCTCAAGAAGGGGGTGCTGGCCCCCGACGCCCTCTGCTAGGCCTGGCGAAGACCACAGGGCCCGGGAGGAGATCTGGATCTCTGAGCCAGACGACAGACGAGCTGGCCCCGCTCTGGAGCACCCAGACTGCAGCCAACCGGGAGCCCCAGGGGGCCAGGCCAGTCCTGGGAGGGGCCTGGGACTGGGATGCACCCGATTTATGAAAATGTCAGAAACCATAGTGGTTTGTCAGTGTCCAGAGGCCTCAACAACAGCCCCACCCTCACAAAGACTTGTTTGGTTCTAAGCACGAGGGAAGCCATTGACTCCGTGGAGTGCCCATCCCTCCGTCCCCTTTGCTGCCTCCTCAGGTGGGAGGTGAGGCCTCCCTCCCCCCTGTAGTTTGAGACAAGAGCTCACACAGGTGGAGTGGAGACTGTGTGGGGGGCCGTGACTATGCAAGAGGCCTGGAGGTGGGTGGAGCCGCTGCCCAGGTGGCCCTGAGTGGGGAGACATGTGGGTGGCCCTGGAGAGGACCAGGCAGGCAGGTGTCAGCACCTGGTCTGGATGCTCCGGGCAGTAGGGGGGGGAGGGCACGTCTCTTGTTCTCTGTTCTCTGTCTCCAGTGCTTGAGTGCCTACTGAATACGCAGCAGCCTGAACCATCCTGGGAAGTGGGCGGGTGAGGGGTAAAGGACAGGAGAACGCCCCTGGCCCAGCAGGCAAAGGGCCAGCCGGCCCGAAGCAGCGTGGAGGAGGAGGCTGTCGTGGCTTCAGCATGAGGCTTGGGTTGGGCCTCGGGGTGGGAGGCATCCTGCCACCACTGCCCTGGACCCCAGGGTCTCCCCAAACCCTCTCCTTTCCCTCCAGACCTCTTTCAGCCATGTGTGTGCAGGAATTGGCATGACCAGGGGCCCTCCGGCCTCAGAGGTTGGGGAAGGGCCCCTGCTTGCGACCAGGAGCTGGTGTCCATATGTCGAGGAGAATCCAGAGGGCAGGCAAGCCCACCGGGCTGCAGATCTGAGGCTCTACCTGAAGGGACCCTGCTCTGGGCCAGTTACTGCCGGGGCTTAACCTCAGACCCCTGACCCCACGGCCACTTCTAGCCACACGAAGGCTTTTCTTTAAACAGCTTTATTGAGACTTAACTGACAGAATAAATTGTACACGTGTAAAGTGTACAGTTAAATGCCCTGGGATATTGTCCACTCTTTTTTTTTTTTTTTTTTTTTTTTTTTTTTTTTTTTTATTTATTTTTGGGACAGAGAGAGACAGAGCATGAACGGGGGAGGGGCAGAGAGAGAGGGAGACACAGAATCGGAAACAGGCTCCAGGCTCTGAGCCATCAGCCCAGAGCCCGACGCGGGGCTCGAACTCACGGACCGCGAGATCGTGACCTGGCTGAAGTCGGACGCTTAACCGACTGCGCCACCCAGGCGCCCCGGATATTGTCCACTCTTGACAGGCCTCTTGCCTCTGCCAGTGTCTCCTGTCCTGAGGCTTGCACACCTCAACTGCACACTCCCAAATCCCCAGCTCACCCGCCTCTTGGTGCCCTCAGCCACATGGCTGTGCCTCTGGGTTGGAGGAAATGCCCGTGAGGAACCTTGGCTCCAGTAGTGCTGGAGAGAGACTTGGCCACAAACGCCACCCTGGGCTGCCTGGGGCTGTGGCCACCACTGACCTTGGATCTGAGCTGGGCACCAGTCCCCAACTGCCCGCACCCAAGCTGCTTGGAGATGGCCGTCCCCGACCTGGCAGGGGAGGGACCTGAGGGACTGTGAACCCTCCTGTGTGCCATGCAGGATTCACTTCTGCCCCCCCTCCACCCCACACACACACACACACATGGGTCTGGGGTGACCCAGACCCATGCAAGGTGCACAGAGGTGAGGCTGAGACTCACTCTGTCCTGTTAGGGCAGGACCTTGAACAGGTCGCTGTCCAGTGTGGGGTCTCCTCAGCGGTAACATGGGGATGACGATGCCAGGCGGCGAGACGTGAGCCGCCAGGCAGAGCATCAGGATGAGGGCCACCATTCAAGTCCTCAGAGGCACTTGGGACCCACGGAAGGACACAGGGAGCTCTGGGGCTTGTGAGGTCACCTTGGACAAGCCCACCATCCCCGGAGCAGCCGGGTGCCTCGGAATTGAGAGCTTGGTGGCCTCTGCCTGGCGCTTCCTTTTGTCTCAACCACTGGGGTGGCTCAGGCTGGGGGCAGAGGGCACTGAATGCTTCCCTCTCACTGCAGGGGCATGATCGCCACACAGAAACTGCACGCACAAACGGCACATATTCTTCGTGTGAAATAACTAGTGAGCCTGTCCCTGTGGCTGCCACGTCGGGCCGTGCTGGGGGGCTGGGCACCTCACACAGCATCGGGCAGGCGTGCAGAGGAGGAGCCCTGGGGTCTGGGCCCAAGCCCTGCTCCCCTCATCTGTCCAACCTTGTGTTCTCCAGGGCCCACCTGTGGGGGGCTGACTGGTCCCAACCGCTGACCTCTGCCATGCTCTTGGCCCTATCCCAACATACAAGGAGGAGGCCTGAGAGGAGATCATTCCAGGAGCCTGGGTGCTGGGTTGGGGGAGCCTCGGGGGCCTCTCGACGTGTAAAGACAAACCTATGGCCCCAGGAGGACACAGGCCCCTTTCTCCCAGACAGAGCAGGCTAGGACCATGGTCACTGTTCCTGAAGACGCGTGGGATCCACATCTGCAAGGTTTATTTTTCCAGTTGGGGTGGGGTCAGGGGTCAGGAGTCGTCCCTGGGATGGTAGATGTGGTCTCGATCCTCCTCTGGCCCCTGAAGCTCCTGGTGAGGTGGCAGTGACCAAGAACGGAGCCCTGCCTCGGCCTGGGCCTCCTCGGGTGGTGGGTGGTACAGGCCGTCACGGTCAGGCTCCGGGTCCCAGCTGGGCAGCCCCATGAGCTCGTCGTCCCTTCCCAGAGAAGGGACGCCCCAGGGCCTAGGAGCACAGCTGGGTCAGGTCCGCAGGTGCCACAGGAGGCAGCCAGCCAGCCCCAGTGAGGGCGCCCACCACCCTACAAGCAGCCTGGGGGCTCTGGGGATGAGACCTGGTGGGAATCTGTTCCCCCACCAGGGTCCCTGGTGGCTCTGTCCCATCACTCGCCAGAGGCCCCGGGGCCCCAGGGCCCAGGACAAGCATCGCCATCCTTCTCCCCCTCCCCACCCAAGAGCTATGACCAGGCGGTCCCCACGGGACCCAGACCCGAAGGGTAGGCATCCTCGCCACATGCCTGAGCCGCAGGGGGCCCCGGAAGGTTGCAGCGTCCCCAAGGGTGTCCCTGAGAAAACATCCTGGCCCAACAGATGCTGCCCCGGCCACAGCCCTGGGCCATGGAGACCCAGAGAGTTTGGGCAGGAGTCCCCACCAGTCAGATGTCAGGCACTGTATCCTCTGGCCTGGCAAGGTGTGGCCCCGGGAGAGAAACCAGCCGAGGTTGCCTCGTGTGGATGCAGGGAAGCAATCATGGCTTAGAAGTGGCTCTGTCTGAGGCCACAGCCCTGGGGGGTGAGGGGATAGCCACCCTAGGGGATCAGCCTAGAGCCCTCAGACCCTGTACTCTGCCCGGTTTCTGACAGATCCCATGGGGTCCCATGCTGCCTGGAGCATTGCCTCCTCCTGAAAGGTGCTGGGCAGGGTTTCCCCTCCATCCACCAATGCCCTTAGCTTGGGGCCAGGGCCCAGAAGGGGCAACAGCCGGGGAAAGCACAAGGGTCGCCGAGGACACTCACTCCTCTGTGTCCTGCTCAGGGGCCCCAACTTTGTCTTTGGTCTTGATGAGGACCTGGAAGGAAAGGATCACAGGTGTGGGCTTCGTGCAGTCCACAAGGGGTCTAAGGTCAGGGGACACCTGGACAGAGATGGTTCCAAGGCCCCTGGGACCGCACCTGCCAACTCCACCCCCTGCCCAGCCTCCTCCAGGGAATGGATGGAGGCCATGTGGTTACTGGAGAGACAGGACAACCCCTGGGGCTGCATCTGGACCCCCCCCCCCATCCCCGGCTGATGGCTGGAGGAAGGGGTCCAGTTCCTCTGGGCCCAGCCCTCTTGTGGAGGCCAGGGGAGTGTATGAAACAGGTGACCCCATGGAGACCAGCTGTCACTTGTGGGGAAGGGTTGGGCCTTCCTAGGTGTGCAAGTCTGAGTGGTCTTGACCCAAGGGGGTGGGGGGCGGGGGGGGGGGAGACACAGCACAGAGCGCATCTGAGCAGCGATGCCCAGGACAGAGGATGTGCCCTGGGGGTCACAGTGCCAGTGAGCGTCACCTAGGGCCCCTCCTCTGCCTGGGTCACTTAGGCATCACTGAGCCTTGCCTCTCAGACCCCGCAGAGGGGCACGCTCCCCCTCATCCTTAGGGTCCCTCTCGGTGCCCGCAGGGCCACCCTGCACAGAGACCTGCAGTCACATTAATGCCCTGCCTTCTCTGTGAAAGGCCAGCTTGGTGCCCTTTCTTCACATTCCTTGCTGATGGGGCAGGGGCTGGGCAGAGCAGCCCACACATACCTGGGGCTTGGAAGCCGAGCCTGCCTCCCCCAGCAGCAGAGCCGCCAGGCTGGCAACCAGGAGGAGCCTGAAGGGACCAGAGAGGAGAGTGAGAGGTAGGCCGGGGCTGTTCCTCTAGACAGGACAGCCAGGTGGGTGGCCTGGTGTCACTGGCAATGTGGGTCCCAGCCAGGGAGGCCTGGGGCCAGGTTCACAGGTAGTTTATTATCTCCCCATCTCACAGCCCAAGGACACACAGGCACAAAGAGGTGGGATGGCCACAGGCCCACACCTGCCCCCAGGCCCCCTCAGACCGGGTACCACTGCACCCCACGTTCTGGACGGACCCCACGCTACTGGCCCCGGCCACCAGGTGGACCCTTCAGCTCCCAGCCTCTGTGCTGGTGGCTGCACATGGAACCACATGCGCCTCTTGGCCAGGGAGCGGTGTGCGCTCACAGCATCCTCTGCTTAGGTGCCGGGGAGCTAGGACTTGGGGCAAGGCTCTGGGAGTGCTCAGTGCTCATGGCACCCCTGAAGCTCTGCGCCGTGGCT